ACCCGTGGGTACAAAGGCCTGTCTCCCAGCTTGCTCCAGCACGTTGAGAAGTCTAAGGAGAAAGGCATGGGCTCTTCTGGATGGATCCCCATCTCTCTTCCTAAGACTGGGTGCCCATTTGCCACATTCATCACATCTCTGGGTGGCAGGACGGGGTGCTTGAGGAATTCTGAGGGTTCACCCAGGAGCACACAGTTCCTGTGTCAGGTTACTCTGGTGGATGTCTTGATAGTTATCCTACCTTATTACTATTATTATTTATTTATTTTTCCTTTATTGATTCTAGAGAGAGAGGAAGGGAGAGGGAGAGAAATAGAAACATGGATGAGAGAGAACATCGATTGGCCGCCTCCTGCATGCCCCCCATTGGGGATCAGGCCCACAACCTGGGCATGTGCCCTGACCGGGAATCAAACTGGCGACCTCTCGGTGCAGGGGTCGATGCTCAACCCCTGAGCCTCACCAGCCGGACATTATTATTATTTTTAAATTCCACCTTATTAAAGGGAGTGGCGGTGGTGGGAGCCACTACAGAAACCTAAGTACGTCTAACCTCAAACAGTTATGTTATCTACTCATCTGTAACCTCCTCCTTGAAATGTTTACTTCCCCTGGTGACAAATACCGCAGCTTCTAGGCCAGGCTCTCTCTGGTTTTGGTTTCCCCGGGGTTCAGGGAGAAGGAAGGCAAAAGGCAGCAGATGCTTCGCGAGCGGCTGCCTCGGTGCCAGCAACCCCCCTGTGCTGCTCCTGGTGCCCCGGTCTCTCTTCCTGTCTGCCCTCCCCACTCCCTGGGCTGCTGACTCTCCGCCATCTGACCATCTGCCTGGCTCTGCCCCCTGTGGCCACCACACGAGGCTGCCTCGCTGACCTTGCAGTGCCCTTGGGTGCCCATCAGGCTCAGACCTTGCGAGGTGTGGACCCCTGCCCTCTACTGTTCTCTGCCCCCTGCCCCCTAGATGCCCTGTGCAGCTCTGCTCAATGCTGCCTGGGCCTGGTGGGGCCAGAGTGAGGTCTAAGCAGAGAGAGGGCCACCCAGCTGTTGTCATTAGTGTAGCCACACCCAGCCAGCACTACTGGGTGGGTGAAACATTTTTTTCTAATTTCACACCTTATTATACTACAACATCTATTCAAGTGTTTTTTGGCTCTAGGTGGAAAGTTTCTTGAAGGCTTACTATATCCGGAGTGCCTGCGATATAGACGTTCTTGGTAAATACTGGTCGAACTGAGGCCGGGAGTAGAAGAGACACTGAGGATGCTGTTCTGATGTCAGTCTAGCTGGAAGGAGGAAAAGGGGCCATTTGTGGGCACCAGTCCATCCCTTCCATCGGGGCTGGGGGTGAGGGGCGGCCCCCGGGCTGAGCAGGAAGCTGCTCTTCCTGGCTTTGCTACCAAGATCCCTGGGTCTCGCAGGCTGCTTGCCCCTCCCCCACCCCCATTCCCACCCAACACCTCCACTGTGTCCGCAGCCTCACGAGCAATGCAGGTGGGACCAGTGGGGGAGAAAATTTGGGAGAAAGTAGGAAAAAAAGAACACTCTGATATTAGGAGAAAGAGATGAAGGCTCTCTCATTTCCCCCTTTTAAAAATGCTAAAAGTTATACATGTTCATGGGGAACAAGTCAACAGGTATAAAAGTTTTCTGCCTTCTCCCACTTCTATAGCCTTGCACCAACCACTTTTAACAATACTTGGAGAAGCCCTCCGGGAAAGTTCTATTATACAAGACTGTAACTCTCTCTACCTCTGTCTCTATGTAAACACACACAGGGAGAGACAGACAGACGGAATTTGATGACGCCATGTGATGGAAAGTGGGGGATGGACTTGGAGGCTGACCTGAAGAGGCTGTTGATCCCAGACTGGGGCTCCTGAAGGGAAGCAGTGGGGTCTGTAAGTGAGGGGCAGGGGTGTCTTCAAATAATAAAAGATTTGCATTACGAAAAACATGTGGGGGCAGTTTCAGAGGTGAAAAACACAACAGCTAGTTGGCCTCAGTTTTAACTGAAAAATGGGATCGTAAGGTACATTCCTCACAGGGTTGTTGTGAGGAGAAAATGGAAAATGGGGACTTTATGTTGAAAATGTTTACTTTGTGCCAAGCGCGGCGCTCTGTCACAGTGTGCCGTTATTGTTGCTGATACTGTTGCTGTTGTTGTTATGGTGATTGCCGTGCCTGCTGTTGTCAGGGTGCCCAGCACAGTGCCTGGCCCGAAACGGACCCTCTGTCCATCGCAGCCAGTGTACGGAAAGGACCTCATGACAGCATCTCTCCTCATTTCAGAAGATTCTTCTTCCCTTTGTTGTGTGCCACTTCCCTTGTTCCTTCCTTTTTAAACATTTTTTTTTTTCTTGGCTGCTTCTAACTGCTCACTTTATGGTGTGTGACCTTGAAGAAAACTTTCTGGTACCTGGTGGACATAAATTCGCAGAGGTGTGCAGAGATGTTTTAGGTAGCTAAGTTTTTTACTTCCTCTCTCTCGCCTGGCCCGGAGCTGTTGGAAATGGTTAGGTGGGAACATCTGTGTACTTGCTACCTTTTACACATACTACCTGAGATTAGTTAGAATTGTTTACGTAAGAAAAACACCCACAATTACGTCCGATCCTGTTCACCGTGTCTTTGAACAGCATGGATCCTGCAGCTCCACTGGCGACATCCTGGCCTGGCGAACCCGTCCTCCTGGGATACCTCCTTGTAGTTAGAATGGCTGGCGGGGAACTCTTAGCTCTAATATTCTGCATCCAAAATGCTTTTAGTTGTCGGTGAAACCAAGCCTGCCTACACACTCTGTGTTCTTGATTTATAAATAGGTTCAGCTGCCTAACAATTAAACATACTCTATTTTGCACATGTACATTCCTTATGGGGACGTTTAGACTATAAATGGCTTTTCCTCTTGTGACACTATCTAGAAACCATCTTCCTAATCCACCCCCGCCCCAGGTGGGTATATTTTGGGAATGAGACTTTTGGTCTGTAAAGCCCAAGACAAGATTTCCAACACGCACAGGAAATCCAGCATCAGATTCCTAGGCGATCCGCACAGGGGCAGGCCCAGGGCCAGCTTATACCTGTCAGAGGTCTGCATGGCGTGCTTTCTATCATCCGTGGCCACACGTGCTCATGGCGGTGTGAAACACCGGTGACCAAGACAACAGGACACCAGAGAAAAGACAGATCCGTGGGGCCTGAGAAGGAGACGAAGATCTAGCATTAGGCACAATGAAGTATTTGATAAGGTTGAAAGAAGGCTTTGCATGCCCCGAGGCCCACGAGAGATCGGCTTGGCAACTCAGAAGGGAACATGCAAAATAACAGTTTTAGGTTAACTTGTCAGAATTGCCGTTCTGGGCAGAACTGGGCTTGAATAATAATACCAAGTATTATATAACACTTCAGATATTGAATTTCATTTATTTCTCCATTTAATGCAATAAAGTAAGTGGATTAAATATCATCACTCTTTTACACACGGGGAACATGAGGCGGAGAGAACCAAGAGATTGCCACTTATTTGGGACACTCGAGCTAGCCTGTCTCTGCGCCCTGACCTCACTGCGTTCTTGTCTCCAGCTGACACCAGGGTGCAGGGGAGTGAGCTCTGCTGACATTAGGTGCTCCTTGACAGTAGACGGTGGCGGATTTGAAGGGCCAGCAACTGGAAACAGGGTAGGGTGTGCACAAGGGAACTGCCTTAGATGACAGGGAAAAGGCAGCGCCTGAGGGTGGTACATTGGATTTACAAGCCGAAAGGCCATATGACACCATAGTTTGTAAGTAGTGAGTGTGCAAGAAAGCAAGCGGCAATTTGGTTAGTTTCCGTGTTCAATTAAGCCGGGTCTGTCCCTTTCGCGTAGCCTGGGGCTGAGTCCAAGGCAGAGGAATCCGGTCCGACCAGTGGGGGGCTCTACCGAGCGCAGTCTCCGAATTCCCCAAGAGCGGCCCCGCAGCCCAAAGGCTCCTTGAGGGGTCACTGTGGGCGCTGAAGAACTGTCGAAGACTTGTCGCCTGCGTCTACGCTCTTCCTCCCTGGCCCCAAGTCGGCCAGCAGCCCTCACCTCTGCCCGCGCCCCTCCCCTCGGTTCCCCTGCTGCGAGGTCCCGCCTCTCCCTCCGCAAATCTTAACTGATAGATCTGCAGGCAGGGGCGAGTGATGCGAATTCCTAGAAGCCTGAACGGACTGCCCAGGATTTGAAGTTAGGATCCCCTAAGGACCCTTGAGGTTCGTGCTCACACCCCCTTACCCAGGTCACGGAAGGGCGTGGGGTGGGCAGGGAGAACGCACACTTACCATCCCCGTCCACCCTGGAGCCCAGTTCCACCCCAGTCTTGCCAATCGGGCCGACCCGGAGGGGATTTGGGGTGCAGGCTGACAGCTGGGGGGGGGGGGGGAGCAGCTGGAAGTGGCAGGGGCAGGTAACGGCAGGCCGCGAGAGGAGGGGCCTGGGCCGGGGTGGAGTCGCAAAGGGGCTGCTGTGGCACCTCGGGGGCACCCGCCTGACCTCCGCGGCTTATCCCGGAGTGGGGACGGTGAGTCAGATCTTGGGCAACGCGGGTCGGGCGTGGAGGGAGGCGAGTCAGGAAATGACATCAGAGACTTGTGCTCGGGGAGGGGTGGTCCGCGGCGGCCGGGGCGGCGGGGGCGGGGGCGGGAGGACCTTCACGGAGCCTCCGGCCCCGGGGCAGGACCAGGGCCCCTTCCTGGGGGAGTTTCCTGCCGCGTCCGCCCTCCCCGCCTCTCCCCGCCCTCTCTCCGGGCCGCTCCTTGTATGGTCTCGGCGCTGCGCTCTCCCCGCCCCTGCTCCGCCCCCTGCTCTGCGTCCCTCCCCCGCCTGGCTAGAGGAGGCTCGGGACCCGGACGCAGAGTCCGCGGACCCGGCGCCCAGGCGGCACCCGCAACGCGGCGCACACGCTCCGGCCCGCGGTGAGGCGCGGGGAGCCGGGCGCGGGGAGGGGACGCGGGGACGCCGAGCGGAGCCTGGCCCACCAGGGGGTCCTCCAGCCTGCTCGGCTCCGCGTAACCCGGACACCACCCCCCAGCAGCTCGGCCTGGCCATGGCGGCCCCCCGCCCGTCTCCCGCGATCTCCGTCTCGGTCTCGGTCTCGGCTCCGGCTTTTTATGCCCCGCAGAAGAAGTTCGCCCCGGTGGTGGCCCCCAAGCCCAAAGTGAATCCCTTCCGGCCCGGGGACAGCGAGCCTCTCCCGGCCGCCGGGGCCCAGCGTGCACAGATGGGCCGGGTGGGCGAGATCCCCCCGCCGCCCCCGGAAGGTATGCGCCGGGCTGGGGGCTGGACGACCGTGGGCGCCGGGCGGGGCGGGGGCTTCGGGATTGGGGTATCTGGAAAGGTTGCCGCGGAGGGGGCTGGGCGCAGCCACCCTGTCCCGAGCAGATGTTCTTACCTCATCGTGGAGCTCCTGGCTGGGAGCCAGGGCTCCTGGGGCCGGTCCAAGTCCCCCGCCTGGGGTGGGAGGTGGGAATGTGGGGCACGAATCTTCCCTCCGGGTCCGTTTTCCGAAGTGTAACGGGAGCTGCCCCTCTCCAGCGCGGAGCCCCCGGCCGGTCCTGACCCAGGGCGCCCAGGGCGTCCTGCATCCCGGTTTCCATCCCGCACGCCCGGGACCCTGAGAAAGTTCTTGGGTGAGGGGTTCGAGTTGTAGAAGGAGGGGGACTTAGGGAAGCGGGTGGAGGGGCCCCTGCTGACTGCCTTCTTTCTCCTTCCTACCCCAGACCTTCCCTTACCGCCTCCTCCCCTCCTTGGGGATGGCGAGGACGCGGAGGGCACCCTGGGAGGTGCCTTCCCACCTCCCCCTCCCCCGATCGAGGAATCCTTTCCCCCTGGACCTCTGGAGGAGGAGACCTTCCCTTGCCCACCGCCTCCACTGGAGGAGGAAGGAGGGCCCGAGGCCCCTATCCCGCTCCCACCACAGGTATGGAGGCCTGGGAGGGGCAGCTCTGCAGGGACACCCCCAAGGGAAGGAGAGAAGGGTCCTTTCCTCTGACCTCCCCTCCACCTCTGCCCGGATGGGCCGGGGTGGAGATGGAGGACCGGGATGGGTGCTCAGACCCTTGACCATCCAGCCCAGGGAGAAGGTGAGCAGTATTGACCTGGAGATAGACTCTTTGTCCTCACTGCTGGATGACATGACCAGGAATGACCCCTTCAAAGCCCGGGTAAGGAACAGGGGAGGAGGAAAGGAGTGGGGATCGAGCTGGGGAGGGCAGCACCCTCCTCCAACCACACTTTTCTCCCCCTCTGCCTCCCCTTGTAGGTGTCATCTGGATATGTACCCCCGCCGGTGACCACTCCATTCATTTCCAAGACCAGTACTAAGCCTGCAGCTGGGGGCACTGCACCCCTGCCTCCTTGGAAGGCCTCTTCTAGCTCCCAGCCTGTGCCCCAGGCTCAGGCTCAGCCTCCAAGCCAGGCACAGTTTCATGTGCAGCCTCAGGCCCAGCCCCAGCCCCAGCCCCAGGCCAAGCCTCAGGTCCAGTTCCACGTTCAGCCCCAGCCTCAGCCTGTGCCTTTGGCTAACAGTCAGCCTCGAGGCCCCCCAGCCCCACCTCCAGCCCCTAAGTTTTCTCCAGTGACTCCCAAGTTTACTCCTGTGGCTTCCAAGTTCAGCCCTGGAGCCCCAGGTGGACCCGGGTCACAGCCCAATCAAAAGTTGGGGCCCCCTCAAGCTCCCTCTTCTACTGGCACAGGCTCCCCTCAGCCCCCCAGCTTCACCTATGCTCAGCAGAGGGAGAAGCCCCGAGTGCAGGAGAAGCAGCACCCAGTGCCCCCGCCGGCTCCAAACCAAAACCAGGTGAGGGAGGGTGGGAGGACCAGGCTGAGACCTGGGTGCTGGGGGCAGGGGATAAGTCAGGAACCAGAGAATGAGGGCAGAGATGGGCAGGGGTGGTAGGATAAGAGTTTCTAGCCCCTAGGGTTGGGCCGGTGGGACCTGGTAAGAGAGCTCCTGTGGAGGGGTGGGTGGGGCCTGGCTGCGGGTGGGAAGAAGCACAGGCTCTGAATTAGCTGAGGGTTTGGTGGAGCATCCCTGACCCCCTGCCCCAGAATGCTGAAGGGGAAGATGAGCTCATCACTAGTCCTACCCTGGTTCTTACCCCTTCTTGGAATCTTGAGTTAAACTCTCTGTTTCTCTGGGTATTCTCCCTGCCCGAGGGCCCATCTGGTGATAAGAGCCTCTGCAGTGGCTGAGCCAGTGTCGGTCGGCTATGCCAGGCACTGTGCTCTGTGCTCAGGACGGAAGAGATCTCTCAGAGGTTCAGCCTGAGGGAGTCAGCTGGACCGGGGATAGAATTCCCGGCTCCCCGGCTCACAAGATCCTAGGCAAGTGAGGTGAACCTGAGCCTCAGTTTCCCACCTTTGAAATGACACTCGCCACCCCATCCCGTGGTCGTGAAGGTTAAATGAGCTAACGCATAGGAAGTGCTGAGGTCTTTGTCCAGCACCCGAATGCCCCACATTGCAAAGTTCTCATTCCTCCTCGTAGTTCAGAAGATGAGAGCTTTTGAGGTGAAGGGACCCCGGTGGCCATCTAGTCCAAGCAGCCACAGAGGAAATGGACAACAGGAGTGTCTGTCCTTGTGTGCAGGCACCGATGGGGCACGAGGAGATGCCAAGTGCCCATGGTTGTAAAGAACCCTGTGTCACAGGAGACTAGAAAGTACAAGGACCTCTGGGAAGGTATAGAGCTATGCAGAGGTAGGCGGGAGCTCCAGGGGCCTGTCCGTCCTGGCAGGTCCTTTGTAGTTTTCAAGTTAGATGTGCGGCTAGATTAGAGAGTGGGTGACAGCCATGCTTTTGGAAGCTTTTGGGACAATGTTTCCAGCAGAGGTGTGGACTAGAGACGGGGTCAGTGAGGGTCAGTGGTGTGTGGGGATAAGAGCTGTCCAAAGGAAATGCCTACAGGACCTGACAACGGATAAGCGATGGAAAGAGGAGGGGGAGGGGTAAAAATGCCTGGGTGTGTTGGGGAATGAATGACAGTAATGTGGACAAAATGGAGAAGTCCAGAAGGGGAAATGCTTTGGACGGGAAGAGGAGGGGTCCAGCTGTCAGCATGTTGAGCAACAGGTTTCAGGAGGACTTTCCTTCAGCTGGGACTGTCATTCAGTTAGAAATGTTAGAGGCCTGGGTGCTTATGCAGCAGGAACTGTGGGCCTGAGGGGAACCTCGGGGTGGGGGGGGATGCTCATGTTGGTCAGGTGGGAGGGGAACAATGGCAAAAGGAGGGGGAGCATCATAAGTCAGGGAGAGGTCTTGGGGGGCAGTGATGGCTGAGGAGCCCTCCAGTGGGGGTTTGAGGATGAGAACTACAGGAAGGCCACTGATCTGGCTATTTGGAAGTCACCAGTGGCCGCGGGGTGGTCCACTTGTGCCCTGTGGCGGGGACAGTGAGAGGGACTGCAGTCTGCGTGGGTGGTGAGAAAATGGAGTGGTCAGAGCGGCCTGCCCTGAGGCTGGCAGAAAGCTGGCCTAGGGCAGCGCCTGTGGGTGGGGGTTTTTCAAGTTCCGGGAGGGGGCTCAGGTGCGGATGTGGACCAGGAGGAAGATGCTGATGGAGGGAGGAGTTAGACATGCCTGGGAGCCAGGCTGCTGCTGGGATGGCCTGGAGGGGTGCAGGCTCCCCTGCTGTGGTGTTCCCAGAGAGCAAGGACAGTGGCATCAGTGTTTCTAAGGAGAGGAGGAACGCAGGGAGCTGAGCTGGCCGGCTTCCATCTTCTCAGTCATGTAGGAGGTGAGGTCATTGGTGAGAGCGAGGGAACGAGGGGCTCGGGGGATGGAAGGGTTTGGAACAGCTGCTGTGGGGAAGGAGGGCCCCCGGGAACCCGCAGGAACCCACAGACAGCGGAGCCGGGGCTGGAGGGTGCCAGGGGCCCTGCGGTGTTCCGTGTGTCGTGAGCTCACGCTGCAGCCTTGAGTGATCTCTGTACATACTTCTGTAGGCCGGAGGCAGGCACAGGAAGCGGGGTGCTGTGGCCCGGGCTGATTGGGCCAGCTAAGTGATGGTGGCCCAGGAAGGCAAGAGTGACTGAGAGCCTTGTAGAAATAGATGGTCATGGGGCCAGGCTGGGGAGGCACACAGGGAGGGCCGGGAGGCAGGAAATGAAAGTCTGAGTGGGTTCTTCAGGGCGGAGGGGGAGGGGTTATGATTAGGGTCAAGTCCAGGGTCTTAGAGGTAAAGAGACCCATGACTCTCAGGTCCAGGGTGTCCCATGCTGGAAGGTGCCTGAGAGGGAGGGATATTGAGGGCCAATGGGGTTAAGGAGCTAGAGGTCTGAGTGCCAATGGGCACTGAAGCTGTGAGGTTGGTGCCAGCAGGCAGAGAGGGAAAAGAGACCGCGGGGTGAGTCCCGAAGGCGTGAGGATGCCCACGGGGAGCCGATGTGCGCCAACAGTTCATACTTCCAAAGAATGGAACAGGCGTCTAGAGCAGCGCCAGCGAGCACGAGCTGGCCGAGTCCCTGCCTCTGTCCCCAAGATGCCAGGAAGGGACGACTGGGGGAGGAAAAGCCGACGCCTGCGTTGAGGAGGGGCGCACAGGGAACTCGGTCGCTTAGGGCAGGGGTCTGCAGGGAACCGCTAAGAGCTGGGCTTGGCTGCCTGCTTTTCCGGGCAGGTGCAGCTGTCTGGATGCAGATGCGGTGAGGGGGTCGGGTTGAGGGGAAGGTGGCAGTGGGAAGGGGTAGCTGGGAGACAGGTGTTACGGGAATGGAGTCATGAGCAGGGGCCACAGTCCTGCGTGACCTTCTCCAGTGACAGAGAAGATCAACCAGCGTTCCCTCAGAGCCATGGCAATGCTGGTGCAGGTCAGACAGCCTGTGGCACCTCCTCCTGGTACTTGTGAGTCCCTGCAGTGCCCCCAACCTCACTGCACCCCCACCCCCAAGCTCTCAGGATCCCCTAGATAGTGGGATCCTCAGATGTGGGCTGGCCTAAGAGGCCCTTCACTGAGGCCTCCGGGGAGGAAGTGAGGTCAGGTAGAGCACCCCTCTCGGAGGAGGTCCCCCAGACCTCCGTGTGGAGGGCCTTGGGGTTTAACCTGTGATTCCTGCCTGTGTTGTATCCTCACGCTGACAGGGCTGCCCAGCAGCAAGCGGGTAGGTGCGCGCGAGCCCGGGTGCGCAGCCATCACGCGGACCTCTTCTGTGGGGGGCCATGTCCGCGCATGCTCTGTGGGGTGATGCGTGGCCTGGTGTGTTCGGTGCTTCAGTGACCTGAGCTGCTGTGTGCGTGGCCTCCGTCTGCTCATTCTGGCCTGTCTGTGGCTGCCCAGGGGGTTTGGGCAAAGGGGGTGGAAGGTTCATCCCCTTCCCCTTATTCGTGTGGTGCTGGGGTCTGGGAGGGGTAGTGAGGAGCTTTCGGGGTCAAACCCGAGCATCTGGGAAATGGGAAGGAAGGGAGCTGGTCCTCGTTGGAAGAAAGTGGATAAGCTGACTGGGGAATGTTGTTGGGAGGGGTGACCCTTGAGAGGGTATAAAGAGTGTTGGGGTTGCAGGTGCGCACCTCTGGACCTCTGACCCTGAAGGAGGTGGAGGAGCTGGAGCAGCTCACCCAGCAGCTCATGCAGGACATGGAGCACCCTCAGAGGCAGACCGTGGCTGTCAGTGGTGAGCCCACCGCCCCTCGCGAGGACGCGGTCCCCCCGTCATTGTGCTGGCCACATCTGCGACTCCACTCCCTGGCAAGCTTCCTCTTGTTTATTTATCTTCTCTGGCCTTCCCAGAGTCCTGTGGCCGGTGTCAGCAGCCCCTGGCACGCACGCAGCCCGCAGTCCGCGCCCTGGGACAGCTGTTCCACATCACCTGCTTCACCTGCCACCAGTGTGAGCAGCAGCTGCAGGGACAGCAGTTCTACAGCCTGGAGGGGGCGCCCTACTGTGAGGGCTGCTACACTGTGAGTTGGCTTTGGGGCTGAGGGCCATCCCAGGGCTCAGCCAAGGAGTGGGGCGGACATGGAGCAGACCTGCAGCGGGCTGCTGGGTGCCAGTTCCCTGCCAACCTCTGACTGCTACCTCCTCAGGACACCCTGGAGAAGTGCAACACCTGTGGGCAGCCCATCACCGATCGCATGCTGAGGGCCACGGGCAAAGCCTACCACCCTCAGTGCTTCACCTGTGTGGTCTGCGCCTGCCCGCTGGAGGGCACCTCCTTCATCGTGGACCAGGCCAACCGGCCCCACTGCGTCCCTGACTACCACAAGTGAGGACCCTCCACTGCCTCCGGCCCTTCTCCGGGGCCAGCTGTGGTTTGTCTGGGAGCCAGGCTACCCCGCTGACCCCAAGGCAGCTCCAACGCCCGGCTGGTGCTTTCTGGCCCCACGACTTGTCTGTAGATGGCAGACAGTTCATCTGGACTTAGCTGTCCGGCCTTCGGCCTAGGTAGCAAGCTTGTTCCTGGCCAGCCCCCTGGCCCTTGGCTCACTGGCTTCTTTCGCTGGCGGTCTTGGGTTTGGCAGCATGTGCTGGAGTGACTTCATTCCACACACAGGTCGGGTTCGAGCAGTTCCCTTGGAGATCAGTTGTTGGGAAGTCTGGGTTCCCCTAGAAAATGTTTACGAGGCAGCTGCCTTCTCAGGCCAACAGCAAAATCCTGTGAGGTAGCTAAAGGGTGGTACAGGGACCCGCAGAATCTGGCTCTCACCTCTGCTGGAGGTGTGCGTTTGCAGGAGCCCACCTCAGGCGGCCAGGACTTCACGCCCCTCTATCCCCAGCAGTCGAGCAGAGGCACCTGTGTGGTGGGGGTTGATAGGGTCAGGGGTCCAGAGATGGGACCAGCGGGGCGCCTCTGGGTGTGCTTTGTGAGGATGGATGTGACGGGGTGAGGACCTCGTGGCAGTGGGTTTGGGGTGGATGGGGCTTTGGGAGGATGAGGGAAGAGGCGGGCAGTTCTCCTTGATAAGGGCAGGTATGGTGGCCGGTCTTCAGCCTTTCTTTTGGGCTTCCTCTACCTGGAGATGTGGGCAAGGTGGCCAGAGAAGCCTGCCCGCTGCCCTCTCTCCCTGCCCCTCCCCATCCTGACTCGAGCTGCCCTGCTGCCCCCAGGCAGTACGCGCCCAGGTGCTGTGTGTGCGCAGAGCCCATCATGCCTGAGCCCGGCCGGGAGGAGACCGTGCGGGTGGTCGCTCTGGACAAGAACTTCCACATGAAGTGCTACAGGTGTGAGGTCAGTGTCCCCGTGGCCCCCGACGGCTGGCTGGGCGGTGTGGGGAGGCTGCTCACTGGCCAGTGGTGGACAGTGCCAGGCTGCAGTGTTGCGGGTGGTCACTGGCAGTGCCCAGAGGCTTTGGTCACAGCAGGAAGGGGGCGGGGCTTGGGGTGTCTGGGTCACTGAGTTCCTGATAAACCTGATAGGAGACGTGAGCAGTGGTAGGAAAGGGAGCTTGCTGGGGTGGCCGGGTGGGGATCTCAGCGAGGCTCAGAAGAAAGGACCGTCAGAATGGAGTTGAGACAGGTGGGAGCAGCCCCATGCCCTTTGCTGGGGTGCGCACAGCTCTCCCCACTGCCCAAGGGGACAAAAGTGCAAGTGGGGAAGGTGTAGCTGGGGCAGTGGTGGCATGAGGACATCAGCTCGTGGCCTTCCTAATGTAAAGGTGGGGTGTATGGGGTGCAGAGGGGCCCTTCCCACCGGCGAATTCCTCTTCCTCTAGGACTGTGGGAAGGCGCTGTCCATCGAGGCCGATGACAATGGCTGCTTCCCCCTGGATGGCCACGTGCTCTGCCGGAAGTGCCACACTGCCAGGGCCCAGACCTGAGTGAGGCCCCCTCTCCACTGGGAACTCATTCCCCATCAGCGGACCACCCACACTGAGACCTCCCTGCTCTTCCACTGGCACCGCCCCCTGGATTACTTTTGATGTCTAGCCCCTCCCTCCATTCCAAACCCCACCCAGCTTCCCAAGGGCCCTGATCCAGGGTCCCCAGGAGGCCCAGGCTGCACAGTCCCAGCCCCGGGTTTCTAGTCCTCCCACCCTGCAGGGCCTCCCACCGCCGCCAGGTGCCCCGCCGAGGGTCCCAGGTGGGGCGCGCTTGAACTGCTGCACCCATGCCCTCAGCTGGCCCCCCGCCGGCCCCCAGTAGCCTCCACTCTGCGTGCTGAGGGCCAGCAGCCGCCTGAGCCCGTGGCGGCTGGGCTGGGCTGGGCTCACTGGCCCGGACATTCCCGCCGCCCCCACGCTGCCAGGTTGTGGCTACAGCTACAAATAAAAACCTTGTTTTCCAGAATTCTTAGCCGTGACTTTTGTGCTATAGGTGGAGGAGATGGAGGGATAAAAAAACACCAGGGGTCAAGGTGATGAAAACTCAGCTCCTGTTTACTTATAAAAATATATATGTGTATGTATATATATATTAAACCCTCCCCCAGCACAACGGCTTCACTTCTACCCCAACCTCGCTTTCGAACACAGAGAGGCTCCCAGCGTCCAGAGGAGAGTCCCTCGGGGCAGGGTGGGCGGGAGCAGCACCAAGGCCTGGTAGGCTGAGGGAAAGGACCTGAGTGACCCTGGCCCCATCCTTGCTTCCTGAGGACAGGGTTGGGGAGGGGAGGGCTCAGTCCTTGAACCCCTGAATACTGCAAAGAATGCGTTTCTGGTGTCCCGGCAGCGTGATCCCCATCTGCACCAGATCCCTGTGGTCAAGAAAGGGGCTCGTGAGTGTGTGGGCTCAGACCCCAGCGGCCCTCCCCTGCCAGGTCCCCAGGGTCCTCACTCGACTGTCAGGTCCAGCACGCACTCCATGGTGTCCAGCCCGGCTGAGCGGAAGTGCAGAATGTAGCGTTTCATGCGAATGGACTCCAGCCACTCGGGGACGCTTCGGTAGGGGATCCCGTCGGAGCCACTCAAGCTGGGCAGGCGAAGGGTGACCCTGTGGGACACGGGCTGCTTCAGTCCCGCGGCGGAGCCAGGGGCTGTCCTCGGCTTTCCTGAAACCGGGGCTCAGCCTGTGAGCATCTGTGGCCGGCATTCAAGTTGGTGTCTGGGCACAGAGATTATCCAGACTTTGTGGATTAGCCAGGCCATTGTCTCGAAACCCATTTCCTGGCCTGCTTCCTGGTGTGCTCACAGCCGTGGGCAGGCTGACAGTCCTGGGGCGGTGGCGGCCCCGAAGTTCCCCACACGGTTACCACGGGCCCATGTCCACTGCCGTGGCCGGTTCTGGGCAGCGGGTGGGGCTGGTAAGACACCAGCGGATCGACTCTCCCCGCTGAGAGGCAGAGGCAGGAGAGCTGAGGCCCAGGCCTAGCTTTGGTCATGCCTCTCCAGGGTGGCCCCTTGAGCTCTGGGAGCAGCCCCTGATTGCCACCTCCAACCTTGGCTGTTACTCCTGCCGTGACACCCACGATACAATGAGTGTTCCTGTACTAAAGCCAGCCAGAGCCAAAAACCATTAGCAAAGTAAATCTACGGAGGGGAAAATATCCAACATTCCAGAAAGATTAGCACACGCCGTCTCCAGTGTACGAGGGAGTCGTGTTCCAAAAGATAGTTTCAAAAGTTGGAACGCGGAGCACATTTTCTCCCAGAAACAAGGTTATATATGGTGGTTGGACACAGAGGCCGGCACGCCAGGGCTGGTTGGCCCGATAAAGCATGTGAAGTCCAGCCTTGCCCGTCTCCCCCGCCCCCCCTCCGCCCCACCGGCTCCTTCTCCACATCCTGCCAATGTTTTCGGTCAAATGCAATTCTGACCATGTCCCTCCCGCGGACAGTTTTTAAAAACCGGTCAATAGTTCTCTGTTCTCGGGATAAAGTCCAAACTCAGCAGAGCTGGTTCTCTTTGGACTGACCTCCTACCTCTCCAGCTTCATCTCTGGCCGCTGCCCCTGAACCGGGGCCACCACCACCCTGCACCTTTTGCCGTCAGCCCCCCGTCAGCTCCTCAAGCCCACGCTGGGCATGTGATTTGGACGCCCTCCCAGACCCCCTCGTCGTCACGACACGCGCCCCACTGCCCACTGCTTGCCAGATTCTCTGTCATCCCCACCCCAGTCTAAGTGACCAGGTGTCAGCTTCCAAGCCCTGCTCATATCCGCTTCCCATCTCACTGTTTGCTTCGTATCTTCTATCAAACGACAGCTATCAAGGGTGGGGCTGCATCTCCATCCACCAAGGTGGCCACTCCCCAAGGGAGCAGGCCATGGCTGTGACTCCTCTGTTGGACTCTGACTGGAGCTCTGTGGGCTCAGCACTTGCTGGGTGCGGCTGAATGCCTGTGTCCACCCTAGATCTACCCTCTGAATCCCGTGGCCCTCCCCAGCGTGGTTACTTGGGATCAAAGTTGGCCATGGTCCGCAGGATGTGCGGGGTGTTCAGCAACTGCTCCAGCTGTGTCTTCAGCTGGTGGAAGGGGGGCCGGTGGCCATAGTTGTAGGTCCAGCAGTTCTTCATTAGTTCGTAGAGAGCAGCAGGGCAGTCCACGGGAGGGGGCAGCCGGTACCCATCCTCAATGCTCTTCATTACCTGCAGCGGGGAGAGGGTGGGGGAGGCCCGCGGTAGGAGGCTAACCTGGCAGCCCATCAGAAATCTCTGTTCATGCAAGATCATTGCAAAGGAGCCTCTAACCTCGCCCCACCCCACCCCCGACCACTTGTAAGGAGAACAGGGTGTGGGTCAAAGGGGACAAGAGGAGACAAGTGCAGAAAAGCTGCATCAGGAAGAAGAAACAAGGAGGTGTGCAGGAAGAGCCATAGAAAGATGTGGGGAGAAGACTGGTGTGGGGAGCACCCGGGCTCACCTCCTGATTGCTCATCTCCCCATAGGGCTTGTCCCCGAAGCTCAGCACCTCCCACATCACAATCCCAAAGCTCCACACGTCACTGGCCGTGGTGAAGATCCGATGGGCGATGGCTTCGGGTGCTGTCCAGCGGATGGGGATCTTGCCTCCCTAACAGGGCATGCAGGGCAGAAAGGTGATGTGAGAACACACCCCTCCTCCATGAAGTCATTTGTCCACAGGAGCACACATCCTGTATTGGTTGCACATGTGTGCCTGTGTGCATGGCACGGCGTTGTGGGGGCCAATGTGTCCGCAGCGAGGACGGGGCTCTCACCTGGGTTTCGTAGGTACCATTGAAGTTGTCCAGGAGACGGGTAAGGCCAAAGTCAGACACCTTGCAGCACAGATTCTGACTCACTAAGATGTTCCTGGCGGCCAGGTCCCGGTGGACATAATTTTGGTCACTGAGGTAGGTCATACCAGATGCAATGCCCAGCAGCATGGCCACCAGCTGCCCAGGGACCAGCTGGTCCTCCTGCTCCTGCAGCAGGGTGAGTGGGAGGGTTTGGGAATGAGCAGGGTTGCCTCTTCCCAGACCAGGAGCCAATACCCAGGGTTCCAGGGTGCATCCCCCTTCCCAGCTGGTCCTCTGCCCCTTTCTCACCCTCAGGAAGGCATCCAGGGCTCCGTTCTCCATAAATTCCGTGATGATCATGATGGGTTTTCCTGAGACACAAAGCACGTCACCATGGCAGCCTCCGCCCCATCTCCACCCAAAACCACCAGAACCAGATTTCCTGCCCTTGGCAAACAGCTGCCCTCCACTTCCGGTGGTCCCCCCCCCCCCACACGCCTGGAGACCAATCTTCATACTCTTTGTGACAACGCCTTCCAGGTGCAGAATGTGCGGGTGGTTAAACTGGCCCATGATCGTCGCCTCTCGAAGGAAGTTCCACCACTGGCCATCGGGAGACGTGTCCTTCAAGGTCTTAATGGCCACAGTCTTGCAGTCCTGGCTGGGGATTCTCAGGGTCCCTTGATACACTTCCCCAAACTCTCCTGGGTGGAAAGAAACCAGGGTCATGGCCTGAATCATGGTCAGGCTCCCCACAGGGGACGGATGACATCCTCCAGGCCCCCAGTTCTCCTTTCCTCTCTGGATCAGACACCTGGCGTGCCCTTCCTGGGACAAGGGCTGGGCTGTACTTCCTGGGAAGGGGACAGGAGTTGGGGACAGGAGTGCATCTCTGAAAGCTTTCGGCACTGTCTCCTGGGTTAGCACAGTTCTTAGCTAACGGTGGGTGCTCAACCGGTGCTGGGTCAGTGGTGCTGCACGGTGGTACTGGGGCGGCTGGCCCTGGGCCAGAGCTCGAGTGACCGTGGAGGCTGATCACTGCCACTCTCTTCCACGAGTTCCCCTGGTCAAGCTTGGCCGGCTTGGCCGCACAATCAGCAAGGACACTGCCAAGCTTTGTTCCCTGCTCAGATCCATTTCCCCTGGCGACCCAAGGGATCAGGGCAGCCCAAGGACACTGGGCCCCAGTGGGGCGGAATGCAGGGCGAGGGAGGCTCTGAATCTCTCCCACCTTTGGGAACCATCTAAGAAGAGCCTGATCCTGGGCACAGTGACCCCCCACCCCCACGGACAAGGATGCTGTGTCTAATGCTCTTTATCGAAACTCCGTAACCAGAGGCAGACGGGTGTGAGGCGGGGGCCGCTCCAGCACACTGGATAAGGGCTAGAACAGGACCGCAGCCGGCTGGCCAAGGGTGCAGGGTTCATCAGGGAGGGAACTCATCTGAGTCTGGGGCCAGCACAGACCAGCTGGGCTCTGCAGGGACAGCCTGCAAGGACGCGGCTCTGTGCTGCCACCCAGAGGGACCAGGAGGGCTCACCTTCCCCTATGACAGTGTCCACCGCCAGCCAGGCTGGATCGAGCTCCTGGGTGAAATCCAGGGCTCCCTGGGCAGGGTCCTCATAGGCCTGGAGGTCCACGTAAGGCTTCAGCCACAGCTTGTCCTCTGCGGAGAGAACAGGGGGGACTGGGCCACGGCAGTGCCAGCAGCGGGGCTCAGGAGGAAGGGGGGAGGGGCCGGCCGCAGACCTCCAACTTCTCATCCTTCTGTTCCCTGAGGGGTCCTGTTTTGGCCGAAGTGGGAGACAGTCTCTATCCTCAGCAACGAGGACTCCGCGGCCAGTGCTCCTTTCTCCTGTCTTTGCACGAAGCTCCTGCGTCCTCCCCCCCAGGCCCAGAGCAGCGGCCCAGACCCTGACCCCAGAGTGTCCGTGGCCTCGAGTCACCCAGTCTTCCCACGGCTCGGTGACCGGGACGTGCCTTGCCCTTCCTCCTCACCCCTGCCGGCCATGTGCCTCCCGTCGCTCACACCTCATTCACATTCCCAGACAGACCTCTCGCCCGCCCCACTCCTCGGCTGGGCTGCTGACTCCGCTCTTTGGGGGCACCTAATGAGGTGGCCAGCAGGGAGCCCACATGCTTCGGAGGACTTCGGGGAGCCTGCCAAGCGATCCCCCTCCTGCCCAGCCTTTGCTCACGACCTGGCCAGCCAGGATGGGGGAGGCTGCCCAGAGCCCAGGTGTTGGTGCCGCGGCACCAACAGATAACAGGTAATTGCACAGAGCCTCTGGGGCACCATCAGTACAAAGTTAATTAACCGACGTTAATTAGGTAGCAAAGCACAGGAAGCCTAAAGGCCATAGAGCTCACTTGTGTCCCCGGAGTTGGGTTCCTCGGTCCCATCCCAGGGGCACCTCCCAACACATCTGCACGGGCACACGTGTGCACTTGCGAGTCCGCACACCCTCACACACGTGCTTCTAGCTCACCTCCGTCATGGACACGTTCAAGCTGCCTCTGTTGCCGCCGCCGCCGCTGACGTCTCCTGTGGGGAGAGAGAGGGTGGATTTCTTCAGGGTCCCAGGACCATGTCAGGGTCCCAGTGGCCTCCAGGGTGCAGGGGGAAGGTGGGGGCACAGTGGAGCTTCAGTGCTAGGGGATGAGAAGGGGGTTGGGGCTGCACTCAGGGGCCTCTGACCAGACAAAGGACCCAGGCTGGTGGCTGGGGAGGGGGAGGGGCGGCACCTGGAACGGAAGACCAGGGTCCCGAGCAGCAGCCCCACGCCCAGCAGCAGCCCAAAGACGATGGCCACAATCTCGCCTCCAGTCAGGCCCCTGGAAACTGTGGCACACAAGGTGAGGACATCGGGGGTCAGCGTCCATGGCGACGATGAAGACCAGGGGGCAAGCCCAGGGCAGGTCCCTCTGTGGGCCTTGAGGTGTGTCCCCTTCGTGGGGGGACAGGTGTGAGAGAGAGAACATGTGCTGCCTGTGGCTGGGCACTCACTGAGCCTCTAGGACACCTGAGGATGCTGGCTCGCAGCACCGAGTGTCGGAAGGTGTGTACGAGGTCAGTACGGGGCGGGGACCTGGTGTGAGTCTGGAGGTTGTCCCCTGAAGCAGCTTCTGTGTGGGGGGTGCATGTTTGCACACATGTGTGTATAGAGAGAGGGTCACCGAATGGCACCGGGTCTGAGACGCCTCATTGGGACGACAGGTGATTGTATGTTTGGGGCAGGACAAAGGAAAAGCCACTCACCTGGTGGGCTAGTCCGAAACTCATGGTCAGGGGAGAAAGGGCCAGGGCCCAGCGGGGTCAACATCCGGACCCTGACGGTGTACGTGGTGTCTGGCTGCAGTTCGGTCAGCAGGACCCTGGGTTCTAGCACCATCTGGTGCCATTCTTCATCCTGTGGGTGGGGACTTGTGTGGACTGGGCTGGGCGAAGCCAGACCTGGTGGAGGTGATGAGAGGTCTTGCAAGCACATGGGGCGGGGGTGCGTTGGGGAACAACCATGGCAGGGCTCGGTGTAGGCTTTTCTCCCACAAGAGCCATTCTGCACCCCCACTGGCATGTTGGGGCGTGCCAGGCACGGACACGGAGACTCAGCTGCGTCCTCACCTGGTTCAGCACGTGTAGCTCATAGGTCAGGTTCCCACCGGGGCTGCGGGGCCGGGACCCGTCCCAGGTCAGCTCCAGCTGCCTGGGCTCCTTCTTCACCAGCCTCAGCGACAGGCCTGGCAGAGACTCTAAGGCCAGAGGGTTCCAGTGGATTTGGAAGAAAAGAGGAAATAACTTGATTAGCTTTTCGATTGCTTCCCGCCCATCAGTTTGTTCCTGTGGTTTCCTCCAGGGCCAGCCCCTCCCCAGGACCCTCACCTGCGTGCCCCATGCCGATGCTGAGCAAGGCGCTGGCGGGCATGGAGCTGCCCAGCCCCGACACCCCATTGTGGGCTTCGACGTGAAAGGTGTAGTTGGTGTAGGGTTCAAGGCCATCGATGCGCACAGCAGGCCTGGTGAGCCCACTGGCCCCAGGGGAGAAGTGCACACTCCCCCCACAGGGCTGGCAGAGGCCTTCGCCTTGCGCTGCTCCGTGACACAGAGAACACCCCACGCTGTAGCTCACATCCTGGCGCCCCCCCATATCTGCTGGGGGTGCCCAATGCAGGGAGAGCTGAGTCCCCGAAACAGAGAAGCTCAGGTTTTGAGGGATGGAAGGGGGACCTGTGGAAGAAGAGGGGCCATCAACAGGAGCCCAAGCTGCTGGGTCCCCACCACCCCAATTCTCGAAGTCCTCCGAAGGCCACCAGGAGATGTTACTCCCACTGAGGGAAAGTAGCTTAACCTCGGCTCTGCATCCTTCCGGGGGAGCGAGGGCAGGGGAGCACCCTGGAGCCTGACCCCACTCACTGCCCAGTGTCTGATCAGCTCTGGGCAGTTCCAACCCGAGAGCGGGCTGGCAAAGGCCGGACACCTCCTTGCCGATGGCCGGGCCCTGCCCCAGGACTCACGCGTGCACGGTGCCTGCGGGCCCTCCCCGGGGGCTCGGTAGTGGCCGCTCTCACAGGTGCAGAGGGTGGCCCCCTCAGGCTCCGCCGTGCTGTGTTGGGGGCACTCGAGACAATGGGGTGAGTCCACGTCGGCCCGGTAGGAGCCGGTTGGGCAGGCTGGAAAGAGGGCGCAGGGCTATGGCTGTCGAGTGTCTTCACAGGTAGAATTGCACCCTCCACACCCCCTTTTCTGCAGTGGAAACACCCCTGCACGTGTCTCCCTGGGGTCCTCGGACACTCACGCAGTTAAATCATCTCTGACATGGAGCCTCGGTTTCCTCCCTCCCTTGGCACCCTGGACACTGCCGTCTCCCCCTCCCCCTGCAGGTGGTCACCGTGTCCTCCAGTGTCCTTACCAAGGCACCCCTCTTCGCCTTCCTCATAGCCAGGCTCGCAGTGGCAGCTCCCCACCGGCACCAGCCACTCGCCTTCGGGGCTGCAGTGCATGCGGGGTGCTCCCGAGGGGCCGGGGCTGGCCTGGGCATGGGGCAAGCAGGTTCCCGTCACTTCCACCAGCCCCGTGGGTCCGGGGAGGGTGTTCGGGAACTGGGCCAGGCCTTGCACAGCCTGGGGACAGCGCAGGTAGAACACCCTCACGGCCACCAGCGCCACACAGGCCCCCGGGTTGTGGAAAGCGAGGTAGAGGCCGCGGCGGGTCAGGCGGCCCAGTAAGCAGTGCTCCACGTTCATTTTCACCTCGCCCGACACCAGGTCTCGAGTGGTGAAGCTCTGGTCGGCAGCCACCGTGGTGACCTGGGAGCAGGGACAGGGGAGCAGCCACACAACAGAAACAATTGCTGGCTTAACACCCGGCAGTTACACGACCATAAACCGCAGGCTTGTTCCATGTGGGCTACCGCACCGAGCATTTTGTGTGCACGATGCTACGGTCCCTGCGATGATCCTTCCAAGTGGGACGAACAGCCGTCCCGTCTAACAGACCAGGAGACCCAGGCTGGGAGGGGTCAGCGACCTTGTCTGAGAACACTGAGCTGTGTGGGCTCAGCTCATATAATTTCTGCTCTTCGAAGTGGTGGTCCCACCTCAGTGCCAATGGGGTGATCAGTTCCAGTGTGTCATAACTAATTTATTACTAATAACACACTTTATAACATCCTCTCTTTGGCCAAAAAAAAAAAAAAAAGTGAGCACATCCTATAATCATATGTTCCTAACTCTCCAGCATTCCAGTATGGTGTTTGTTTTTTATTTGAGTAGGAAAGGGATGGTGCGAGAGACAGCCTGCCGAGACCTGTCTTCCTACACAACTGGAGCGACACTCCTGGGGATGGGTGTGCAAGAACGTTGTGGGTGCTGATGGGAGAGGCTGAAACACCTCTTCCCTGCCCGCCATGGCATGCTGCTGTCTCAGCGGGTGCCTGCAGAAGCCCCCAGTCCACCAGGATGGCACCTCTGTCACTACGTAAAGACAAGGAAGCCAAAGCTCAGAGAGGGTAAGTGACCCAAAGTCAGGGCAGGTGAGATGCAGTTCATCTGCACTCTAGTCCCACCATCTGTTCCTCATCTGACGCCTAGACCCTCTTCCTGTTTCTGGCACCTTCTCTGTTTCTTAGCTGAGTGGGGACATGGAAAGGAGAGAGTGAGAGGATCAGGGGCAGGACGGAAATGGCACTGAGGGGTGCAAGTACCTTCTGGAACATGGGCCGTCGGAGCTGAACGCCCACGTCCTGGTCACTCTCCATGTACAGAAGGTTGAAGGTCTCCTTGCAGCCCAGAGGCCCGGCTCCCCCGGGGAAACTCTTACAGTCGCGCACGGTGAACCGCAGCTCCACGTGGACGCGCGAAGCCTCCTCCCCGCGGTAGATCCAATTGGAACGAAGCCAGTGGTCGGTGTCCCCGCCTCCTTGCACCGGGCAGTCCTGGTACATGTACAGCGGTGTTCCATTCAGCATCTGCTGCACCCCACTCCACTGCCGGAGGAAAGTCAAAGTCAGATTCCGAGTCATCACCTGCTACCCAGACTCTCATTTTCTAGAGTCGATGGTGAGGAGGTCGGAGTCAGAGCCCCCCAGGTTCAAGCAATTTTCCTGCCCTCTCCCCAGCCCTCAGCCCCACAATAGTACTTTAAGTGTTAGGGTGGGGGATTTATTTGGATCTGGGACAGGCAAGAGAACCCTCCGTCCCCACCTCCCTAGCCAGTCCCTTCGAGAAGCCTCCCCAGGCGCAAGGGTCTGAGCATCAATGTTGATCTGTTTTATCACCGGAACCATCAAGTCCCCCAAGGGGACTTTCACAGCAAAAGCTCATTTGTAAACCCTTTCTGCCTACTTGCTCACAGAGGAGGCTGCTGAATACCGAGGCCCCTGGGCTTGTGGAGAGCAAGAGGCAGCATAGAACTCTTCTGCATAAGGGAGTCTGCCCTGGCTGGTGTGGCTTGGTTGGTTGAGCATTGTCCTGTGCACCATAGGGTCACTGGTTTGATTCCCCACCCTAGTTTTGGTTTAATCATTCACCTATTGTTGGGCATTTAGGTAGCTTCTAGGTTTATTCCTTAAGTAAACATGTACAGATTTCTATAGACCTATTGGATCAAAGGGTAAACATATTATTCATTTTGTAAGAAGATACTGCCAAATTGTTCTCCATAAACATACTGTATCAGTTTATACTTCTACAAACAATGCCTGAGAGCTCATTTTCTCCAAAGCTCATCACTGGACGTTGATAATTTTTTTACTTTTGGCCAATCTTATAGACATTTTAATTTACATTTCCTTGAGAGGAGGTTGTACATTTCTCTTTTGTTCACTGGCTATTTGTATTTTTATGCAATTATCTGTTGTCTGATATTCTATTGTTATCATTTCTTTCTTTATTTATAATAGAATTTAATGAGGTGATCGATTGTTATTTTCTTTCTTTTTTTTCTTCTTTTAGAGGAAGAGAGGAAAGAGAGAAACAGAAACATCGGAGAGAGAGAACATCAATTGGCTGCCTCCTGCATGACCCCCACTGGGGATCTGGCCCACAACTTGGGCATGTACTCTGACCGGGAATCACACTGGTGACTTCTTGGTACATGAGTCGACACTCAACCACTGAGCCACACCGGCTGGGCTATTGTTATCTTTTGATTGTTCATTTGGATGAGCTTTTAAAAACAATATTATAGACATTAATCATTTGCTTGAAATGCATGTTTCAAATACTTTCTCCCTGCCTGTCATGCCATTTTACTTTGCTAATAATGTCTTTGATGTTGACATATATTTAAAAACTTTCTATAATAACATCTGTAGTCTTTCCCTTTATGATTTTGGAGTTGTGTGTTGTTTGGGAAGCTGTCCCATCCCAAACTTATAAAGATCTTCTATATTTTCTTATATTTTTGTAGGTTTGGTTTTTAGGTTTAGATTTCAATCTCCCTAGAATCTATTTTTTTGTGAGTGTGTATAGCGTGACGTGGAGATGTAATTTTGCCTTTTTAAAAAAAAGTTATAGACATCCAATTGTCAATTTATTAATGAGCTTATACTTTCCACATTGATTTGCAATTCCAATGTTAACACATACTAAAATCTCATATATGTAGACCTGTTTCTGAACTTTCTGTTTTGTCCCACTGACCTGAATATTCTGTGCAATGATACACACCTTCATTATAGTTGATGTATAGTTCTGGTGTCTGGGCAAGTCTCCCATTTCATTATTCTTTCTTTTCAAAAAATCTTAGCTATTTGTAAGTATTTCCCCTTTTGGATAAACTTAAGGAAAACTCCAAAATTCTATAAAATATTTCATTGATATTTTGGTTGCAACCCCCTTATTTTATAGAGAAGAGACTATGAGAACCTTACCCAAGCAAGTTCACTCTCCCAAAGGCTTTCACTCCAGTATAACGCAGGGGTATTCCTGGCTACTCTCAGCTCTGGGAAAAGGCAAGGAACTAGGAATTTGGGGTTGCGCCGGGCAGGAGCATTAGGTTAGGGAGTTCACAGATTGGGCAAGGGGTGTGGAGGCACTGAAGCTGGGATGATAGCGCCTGTTCTTAAAAGGCAGCTGTAATGAAGAAGCCAAGTGGAAGGCATCATGCGGTGGAGGGCAGGTGGGAGGGTGGTGGGTGGTTAATGTGCAGCTCATTAGCTCGCCTGCAGCTGGAGCCAGGAGAAGCAGATGTTCCCAGCTGCAACTCGCCTCTCCCAGTAGTGAGCGAGGGGGAGAACCAGCTGCCCAGGATCAGCCACCAGGATCCTTTCACTTATCACTCAGGGGCTGCTGGCTGCTATGTGGGTACATTCTGGGGAGCCTGGAGCTGAGTGTGTGTTTTGAAAAGATGAGGAGAGAGGACAAGCTAGACAGTGAGAGTGTGTGACAGCGGCTGTCTTCGTGTCCTCCTCGTGCGGTTTAGCCTGAGCTTCAAAAGGTGCCTGGCTTCCACTCTGGCCCAATTAGGGAGGTTATTTGGGTGGAGGTGGCAGGGGCACAGTGAAGGCCCGTGGGAGCCAGCAGGTGGACCTGCAGCCCTCATTGTGGAGTGATTAGCTGGTTTATGAGATGAGGCGCCTATTAGGGCTGGCCTAATCCAGGATTTTCCCAGCAGCCCCTCCTGTAGGATACATTATGGTTTAGTCTATTAATTCTAATTACAGGCTACTCTGTGGGAGAGCCAAGATTAAGCCAGGACCCTAGGACCCAGAGGGGAAGAAAGCAAGTCACCCCAGTCCCAGAAATAGAGGCCGATTCCTGCTGGACTAGGAAAGGGAAAGGGGGATACTCCGAGAACAGGCTTCAGGACGGGAGGGAAGAGAGGCCTAAGCCAGAGTCCCGGAGGCCGAGGCAACTGGCCAGCCTCCCACAGTTCCTGGACAGCTTTGCAGAGTGGCCAAAAGTATTCTCAGGGACTCTCAAGACCCTACCTCTGCTCACAGGGTTTTAGGAATAGCGGAGGGACTTGGAGCGGACTTAAACAGCTGGAATGCATTGTGTGCTTGCACTGGGGGAGGTGGGGGGTGCAGGGGCTCAGGGACCTCCACTGAAGCTGCTTCTAACTTTGGGGGGGGGGTCACAGACCCTTTGAAGAATGTGATGAAAACTGTGGCTCTCCTCTCCAGAAGAAAAATGTCCACGTACATATACACAATTTTGAATACACTTTTGTGGGATACCCTGACCTCCTGCAACCTATCTGTGCAACTCCATGGGGATGAATGGACCTCAGATGGAGGATGCTTTTCTGTTTTGGTCTTAGCTCTCAACCATCCCCTGGATTGTCCGGTCTCTCCCCAGATGGTCCTCAGAGGTATTCAGCCCTCCCTCACTGGGGCAGGGAGGGGAGGAGCCAGGCATTGAAGCCTTCCCCATGGGGTGAAGCCTGACCCCCCCAGGTCCCATTCAGAAGGCTCTCTGAGTCACCTCCCATCCCCCTCCCAGAGGAGACACTTCCAGTTTTTCCTGCTCTTTCCTCAGTTCCTCCACCCACCTCTCCACCCGGTTCCCAGTGGCCCTCAGCTCTGAGCCATCCTAAGTCCTTCCCGCACCACTTACCCCATCCTCGGGATCCAGCAGCCAGCCCAGCTCTCCCTGTGCGGTGCTGGTGTCCATCAGAGTGACTGAAGGCAGGGGAAAGAGGCCTGTCACCTCCGGGGGAGGAGGCCCCACATGTGCACACATTCCTCATTTGGGGGCCCCAACCCCCTAGGCTCCAACATCCTGTTCCTAACAGCTGGGCCTTCCTGAGGGTTAGGGGAGTGGAGAGTTCCAGGGACCAACGGCCTGCTGTTCTCTGAAGTGTGACAGGAGGAAGACCAAGCAGGGCAAGGGTTGGAACTTTGACCAACGCCAATGCAGGATTCTGGCGTTAGGAAGAGCTGCCTCACAGACTTGCACCCTCTCACCCAGTGGGGGACCCACCAGCTGCAGAATGGAAGGGTGCCGTGGACAGACAGTTGCTCAGCCTCTGGGGGTCATGAGTGGGTAGGATGTGAACAGGGACCTTAGAGGTGGTTTCTGGGTGGGAAGCCCCCACCCCTGGCAAAGGGCCTGCTCTGCCTGGGATTGGGGCTTGGAGTGGGGTTCAAGGCTTAGCTCCGAGTCTGGGAAGTTGGGGGAGCAGGGCTGGAGAGGGTGGGCAAGCCTGCCCATGGATGATGGCTTGACCGTTGCACCCCAAGTTCCTACCCTTCCCCCAGCGGTAGGTCTCTGTCGCCTGGCTTAGGTTGACATTAGGTGACTTCCTACCTCTGACTTCAGAGGGTTCGGGTCTTTGGGTTGGGCACCGCGGCTGGGACTGCCTGGGCACGAGGCCCTCCCATTGCTGGGGTGGGGGTCTGGACGCTGCTCCTCGCACCCCACCCCCAGGCGCAAACTGCTGCCCAGCAGGGGCGGGTGACTGGCCCGCGAAGGCAGCTGTTCGGGGTCAAAGACCAAAGATTCGCCTGGCCAGTCGATGCCCAGGCGGCGCTAACACAGCAGCGCAGGAGAGGGGCGCGAGCAGAGGCCTCAGGAATGCCGGCTCCGGGAGGAGGGTGCCCGCCGGCCGGGAAGGGTGATCGGGGCGGGGGTCTGTACCTTCCTTGGCGCGAGCCCCTGGGGGCAGCGGGGTGCAGAACAGCAGCAGCAGCAGCCCGAGCCCCAGGGGCCAGCGCCACTCCATGGCGCGCGGCCGGACCTGGGACAGTGGCCCGGACGGCTGGGCCAGGTCGCGAGGACTGGGAGAGCCAAACAGGCCTAGTGGGGGCGGGGGCGGGGGCGGGGTCGGCGCGGGGGGCGGAGTCCCGGTCTCACCTGGATCACCTTCTTAAAGGGACAGTAGGGCAGGAAGGAAACTTGTTAGACAAGTAATAAACTTCAAAAGCCGGAGGCGTCTTGACCGGAATGAGACTGCCGGCGCCGCCTAGTGAGTGGGATTAGGAATTGACTAACCCAGTGCCAGTTCGACCCTACCTACCCCGTCTTGATCCAGCCTTGAGCCTAATTCTATCTCGGACTTGAACTACACCCTTGTATTCTCCCCTCTCCCTCTCTCCAGGGCCCAGCGCTGTCACAGACACCGAGGAAGCCAGGGGCTTTTCCTCCAGCAGGGCAGGTGACACAGCCGCAATGCAGGGCGGGGTCCGCCTTCTCAGAAGCACCTGGAAGGTTGGAAGAGGGAGCCAACTCAGCCGGGCACTTGACTGACGTGAGCCTTCAGGAAGTAGGGGCTGTGAGTTGGGTTTTGCGTGGCAGGGATTGGGAAAGGCATGAGCAGGGGCCCCAAGGCAGGGCGCCTCGAGGTGCGTTCTGGGAGTGGTGAATGGACCAGTTTGACAGCTGGGAGCCAGGCAGCAAGGCAGGCATGGGCCAGAGCAAGGAAGGTCTTGGTAAACATGTCAGGGAGCTTAAAAGTACCTTGCACTTGACAGAGCAGACAAGGAGCATGAGGGGTTCCCAGCACAAATGGCAGAGAAGGAGGGAGAGGGTCCACCTTGCTTTAGCCCTGTCTAGGGGTGCCCACCCACAGTCCCCCCAACTTCTCACAGAGAGCCTTATAGTATATGTAATAGCTGCTTATTCATTTCTGTTTTCCATGCAGCAAGCCTGAAAACATCAAGAGAGTAAGATGGTCCTTGCCTTGCCCTAAACAAACTATCTGAGTCCTGGCCGGTTTGGTTCAGCTGTTAGAGGGTGGGTCCACAGACCAGAGAGACCCCAGTTCGGTTCCCGCTAAGGGCACGGGCCTCGGTTGCAGTTTGTCCCCGGCCCCTGTTGGGGTTGTGTGGGTGGCAGCCAGTCTATGTGTCTCTGTCATATAGATGTTTCTCTCTCTCTCTTCCTCCCTCTCTCCCTCCTGCTCTGTCTGAAGATAAATGCAAAAATGTCCTCAAGTGAGGATTAAAAAAAAAAAAAAAAAAAAAAAATATCTGAGGAGAGTTGGGGCTAGGGCATAAAGCAATCACACAGGTGACCAAGATGTCAGGCAGGAGTGGACCCCTGTGGAGGTGCAAAACTGGGGTGACAGAGGCTCAGAGGGGAGTGGTGCATTCCTTGAGAGTGGGCAGTGGCCTCCACTCCTGGGGCCCTTGCTTTCTACACCCCTCCCTGGCTCCATCTCCTTTGGGTGAATCATTCATAGTTTTTCTATTATTTAACTTGCTGCATGTTTCGGTCACTGTGGCGGAAGGGAGGTGGTGCATTCTAGGTGCTTATTGCACTTTCAAAAGTCAATACACCTCAGATTTAAAAAAATACAAATAAGTATAGGAAGAAAAGGGCTCATAATGTCCCAACCCGTACTCATTGGCATAAAAAAAAAAGTAATACATGTACCTTGGTTGAAAAATGTATGTGGAACAGAAACAAAACAGAAGGGAAAGTCGAATTCTCCTCTTCCCACCCTCCAATGCCTGTGCCCCCAATGTACCCCCATCAACTTTTCCTGTGACTCTCCCAGGATTTCTCCCCCTATGTGCACACATCATGTTTCTCCCTCTACTCCCACACATACATATGCTTTTAGAATATATACACAGAGGGGCCACGGGACCCAACCGCTCTGCACCAGGGGCCTCTTTCTACTGGAAGGACTTTGGGGGGTGGAGGCGGAGGCCCCTGCAGGCTTACGGGGGTCAGAGCTTTATGATTTCAGCGGGGAGGAATGGGCAAAGGGTGCATAGCCAACAGAAGGGGGGAAATGGAGCAAGCTTTGGACAATTGCTGCTAGGAAATCAGCCAGACTGTGGTGAGGTAATGCATGTGTGCGTTGCTGTAGTTTGTTAAAGTTACAAGACTCTGGGGACTCAAGGAGGTGGGGGAGGGCTGCTCGGTGCAGGCAGAGTTGGAGTCAGAGGAGCCTTGCCTTTGTTTAAGCTTGCGTCTCCATTCCAGGGCAGGGATGTTGCAGAAGGGGCGAGCAAGCCCACCTCTGGCTGCGTCCAGCGGGATCCCAGCTGACAATCCCTCATTCCGTTTGTTGTGGGAGGAGGCACGCCCTCCATTTGGCCTCTGTCCTTAACTAGCAGCGAAGCTTTGGTCAGGTTCTTTACACGCCCTAGACCTGAGTTTCCTGCGACCTGGGTGATCTCTGAGGCCACTTCCAGGAAAGATGGTGCAATTCGGAGCCTGACAGTGCCTGTTTCCATAGCTGTACAATGGGCTTCACTGTGCCCACCTCCTAGGGTGGGTGGGATGATTCAAAGAGGAGAAAGTGCTTTGCTAACTGTAAGTACTGAACAGATGTTACTATGCTGGGGGAGCAATGAGGCTAAGGGGGGCCAACATTTACCACCCCAAAATATGCCTTTTGGGATATTGATTTTAAGCTAGTTGAAATAAAAATATGTCTTTTGGGCCCAGCCATTGTGGCTCAGTGGTTGAGCATTGACCCATGCACCAAGAGGTCACTGGTTCGATTTCCAGTCCAGGCACATGCTCAGGTTGTGGGCCCGATCCCCAGTGTGGGGCATGTAGGAGGCAGCCAGTCGATGTTCTCTCTCATCGATGTTTCTCTCTCTCTCCTTCTCCCATCCTCTCTAAAATCAATAAAGAAAACAATGCCTATTGGGATATTGATTTTAAGCTGGCTAAAATAAAATAAAAAGACTCAGAAAGTGTCTTTGACCTTCCCCCTTTACCTGCCTCAAGAAATTCCGATAGGAAAACCTACACTGCCTAAGGAAGAGGGCATCACTGCAGCCTCATAATACGAATAAACTGAACGTGGCCCACGGGGGAACTCTCGCAGAGCCTGCTTGTTGAACTGCCACTTGTTTGGGGCAGTCCTGCAAGAATTCACTTGCCACACGTCTGCTCTTTCTCATCTACCTGTGAATTGCCCCCTTTCCCTTTAAAATCTCAAATCGCTGTCCCGCCCCAACCCTCTTCGCCCATAATGGCATATAAACCTCAACTGCCAGTGGGTCTTTGGGTCTCATATCTATGGCACCCCTCCCCCCGTGTGCATCAAGAATACATTTTGTACATTTTCTCCTGTTAATCTGTCTTATGTTCATTTGACTGTTAACCCAGCTAGAACTTAGAAGGTGAGAGAAAAGTTGTTTGTTGTGTCCCCGCAGGGCTACATATGACTTACTGAGCTTCTCCTTACTGAGGCCTCCCGGGCTACTCCCGGAGTGGAATGACCTCTGTGACTAAGACATCCATCTTTTCTTCTTTTCAAAGATGTTATATTACAGGATAATCTGCGTAAAATAAATGACACCCACCCCAGTGTGGGTTCTGACAAATGCAGACACCCTGGTAACTGTCACCTCCGCCGAGTTACAGAACACGTTCATCACCCAAAAAAGTTCCCTCGTGCCCTTTGCAGTCCATTCCACCTCCGCTCCCCGGCTGCCTGTCAATCTAGATACCTTTCTCCTGGTCCAAAATATCACAGAGTCTCCCACATTTGGCTTTGTCCCTTCAGCATGGGCCCTACGGCCCATCCACATTGTGGGCATCAGCAGTTCGCTCCTGCTTGCTGCCCGGCATTCCCGGTGGGGGTGCCCTAGACATCCCCGGCTCCTTGCTGACCTGCGGTAGGTAGATTCCACCCAGCCTAGGTCAAGGCCTTGTATGTCCACAGGCTCTGGTTAAAACCCGGCTTAACCGGGAGAGTAATGCAGTGAGCTGCCGACAACCACGACGAGAGCGTCAGTGCACATTGGTTTGTCAGACGAGTATCATGTGCCCTAGCGAGGGCCTGCCTGGATGGGACCATAACAGCTTTTTGTTGGGGCTGCTTCGGGGTGGCCACACTTGTAGGCAACAGGATTCGGGAGATGTTGTGGGCAGTGGGGAGGGGGAGAAGCAGCCCTCTCTGTGTGGCATTTGGTGGACTTTGCACATCTTGGATCACCGGGCTAGTTTGGTCCTCCCATTTGCTTCTGTCTCGTTCTTTCCTATCTGCTCCCTGACCCAGCTCTGCCCTGGCGGCAGGGGCGGGATGACCACAGCTACCGTTTATTACAGCCCCACGCGGGCTGCTGGGCACCTCGCATGCATTGCTTCTCTGACTTCTTACACCAACCCCTTGAGGAAGGTATCATTAGCCCCACTTTGTAGATGGAAAAACCTGCGGCGCAGAGAGCCGAAGCGACTTGTTCAAAGTCACTTGGGTACAGAATGAGGATTTGAACCCAGTCCTGTCCGACTCTGCAGCGCGTGCCCCTCGGCTCAGGGTTTCCAGAAGCAAGGAAGGGGGTGAACGACTCGCGTTGGTCCTACTCCCTGCCTCTGCCCCTCCACCCGTGCCCCCCCAACCAACTGCAACCCGTATGCTGCTTTAAGACAGCATGGATTAGCCCAGCTGGTGTGGCTCACTGGTTGGGTGTCGACTCATGCATGAGGAGGTCCCCGGTTCGATTCCGGGTCAGGGCACATGCCCAGGTGTGGGCCAAATCCCCAGTGGGGGGCATGCAGGAGGCAGCCAGTTGATGTTCTCTCTCATCAATGTTTCTGTCTCTCTCTCCCTCTCCCTTCCTCTCTCTCGAAAGTCAATAAAGAAAAATAATAATAAAACACCATGGATTCCCATTTTGACCTTTTTAAAATGGAATCATCAGATATGTATCCTTTGGTGTCTGAGTTCTTTCATTTACGTAGGTTTGGGAGATTTATTCACGTAATTGGTGCTGATTCATTCTCATTGTTATATGCTCTTCCATTGTATAAAGAACACCTTACCTTTAAAGACCTCTTGACTTGTGGTT